TCTACTGAACTATCTCCCTGGCAACCACTTTTTCAATAGCTGTTGCCCATTTGCATATGTTTTTAAAAGAAATGTCTGTTTAGGCCTAGGGAATATTCTTGAATTGTGTTGTATTTCCTTTTAAGAACTTTGAAGTCCTTATATTAGTCGCTTATCAAATGTACGGTTTACAAAAGTGTCTCTCCTCTAAAAGATGGCTCCCCACTCAGGTTTTCCTTTGTTGAAAGGAAGTTTGGTGTGAAGTTTGAAATGAACTTTTAGTTTGATGTAATTCTGTGAGTTTGTTTTTGCTGTTTCTCTGTGTAAAGCCCAAATAACTTTAAGATCACATACAGAAATAAATAGATAAAATGTGTTTCAATTAAAAGGACCCACTCACTGGTTTACGGCCCTAGAGCTTGAGAAATCCATGTTCCTAAAACAAAGAGGACATAAGAAAACCTTGGATGGGGTCCCGTTACTTGGAAAACAGCTAAAACAACTGAGTCAGCCAAGAAGTTGCCCTTGGCCCTCCCCTTGTTTAAATTCTTACAAGAGACATACATTCCCAAACCCAAGGCCTCACTATTGAAAGCCATAACAACATAATGTCCCAGGTCACAATGCCTCGATTTCTTAAAAATGTTCCCGGAACATGAGGTATTCGTAGGGCGGTCTGCACACGCAGGAACAGAGCGTGCCTTCAGTATAGCAGGCATAGATTTTAAAGGCAAAAACCACAAAATGGGGGGGAGGTTAACCACAAGGTTAGACCCCTCAGCTACCCCCGGACTTACTCCATTTGGTCATCCGGTATTGTAACTCACCAATTATTGTAAAGGTCAACCTACACTAACCAATGCGATTTGCTTCTGTAACTTGCTTGCTCCCCCCACCCCACTCCCCGTTTTGTGATTTTTGCCTTTAAAAAACTATGCCTGCTACACTGAAGGCGCGCTCTGTTCCTGCGTGTGCAGACCGCCCTACGTATATGTAGATAAGAAAACTTCCCCTTTGTGATTTGCATGAGAGACCGACTCTTGGGGTCTTCCTTCACGGCAACTCGACCCTTACACTCTGCTTTGTGGTCTTACCCCATAAAAATGATGCCCATCCCAGTATCCTTAAACTTTTCCATCATTTTCTCTTAGTAATAAGTTTTTAATGAATTTGAATAGATTTTTTAAAATCTTTTATTTATTTGGTGCAGGGTCTTATTTTGCAGGTCAGACTCATACTGATCTACCTGTCTCAGCCTCCTCCGTGATGGGATTATAGGCCTGCACCACCATGCCCTGTTTTGGGGGCCAGCATGGTATGCCCAGGGCTCCAGGGCTGGCATGGTATTCAGTACCAGGAATCAAACCTGAGTCCTTGCACTTACTAGGCAGATGCTTAAACTGCTAAGCTATCTCCCCAGCCCCAAGTAGATTCTTAATATGGTGAGCAATAGAGGGTAAAGTTTACTTTTTTGCATGTGGATACTTAGTTTTGCAGCACTATTTATTTATTTAATTGTATATTTTTCTGTCTTTAGAACAAGGTCTACAGAGTCTCTCTATGTGGATTGGACTTGTAGTGATTCTCCTGTTTCAGCCTCACAAGCACTGGGATTATAGGTGCATGCAGACATGCCCAGTCTCAATCAGCATCTCAGCACGCCCCATGGGTAGGGCCCACACCACATGCCAGGGATTGAACCCTGGCCACTGCAATCTGCCTAAGTGGGAGATTTAGTCTGCTGAGCTGGCTGGCTGGCCAACAGAACTGTTTATTGAAGGGGCTTCCTGGAATATTTGTTTTTAGCTCCCTATGGAAATTCAGTTCACTGTATATAAATGGATTTACATTCGCAATGTCTATTCATCCCATTAGCATAGAGATTTGTTTGTATGAAATCACACACTATTTTGATTACCAGAGCTTTGTAATGTTTTTTTTAAAGGTATAATAATGCTTCTTGCTTTGTTCTCTGTATTCAAGCTTGCTTTTTATATTTGTGGAATTTTCTTGCTCTATATGATTTTCAGTATTGTTTTTATATTTATGAAGAATCCCATTGTTATTTTGATGAGGATTTCATGAAATTTGTATTTACTTTTGGTAGTATAGGGATTAAAAAAAACTTCAGACTACTGTAGTAGCACCTAAACTTTCACATTATTAATTGCTTGTTTTGATATAGAGAAAGGAAAAACATATGTAATACCTAACTCATGGCTGGAGTTAGGGTCAGTTTGATTGATTGGAATAGCTAGCTAAATTCCCTAGAAAAAGTTTTGGTGAAGGAAAAGCAACTCAATCTATATGGAAAGTAAACGTATTTTTGGTCTTTTGAGCTTCCACAAGGAGCTAATCGCTTGAATATTATCAGGGGCATAGCTCTTTCATTTAATATTTCGATATTTGATGTGCTGGTCTCTCAGTTCCCTGAGACAAATCACAGGGAGGTACCTGACAGCGAAAGGTATGGTCTTCCTCAACTTCTTTCATCTAATCATCTTAGTTATGCACTGAATTTATTTCATTAGCATTCAAATATCTTTATGTTAACCATGAGGAAGACAAGTAATTATATATTTCAGTACATTAGTATATTTTATGCAGTAAGCAAAAATGCTTAATATTCTTAATTTAGAGATGAAGTTATGAGAGTATTGCTGTCAATCACAATTGATTCTGGGAAGATGACATAGGCAAGAGTGGTAGTATAAAAAATACACTAAGTTGTTTTATAATTGATACTACTATTTTTGTTAATCAAATGCAAAGTTCTTTGTTTCTAATATTGACAGTACAAAGTAACATTTTGAGAACCATTTAAAATAAATGATCTCTTTTCTCCCATGCTTTTTATGGACCCTGGCAGTGTGGAATCTTCTACTTTAGAATCTAAGGACCTCTGCTGTTCTTGTTTTGAAAATCTGTAAGGTATCTATTGTTGTACATTACCCTGCTTATGTCTTTGCTCCTATTTATTTTTAATCTTCAAAATGAAATAAAATTAAATTTTAAAAATGATACATAAATTAAATTATTTGCAAAAAAAAAAAGAAGAATCTAATGACCTCTGAATAGCTTGGATATATCTGTTTCCAAGAAATATATTTTTATTTAAAAAAGAATCAGTACTTATTTAAGGCAAAACCAACTGCTTGTAGAAATACCTGGTCTTATATGTGTACTAATAATCTCATTTTAAAATGGTTTAAATTTTCTATTATCTGTTAAATTATGAAATTATAAAATAGAAGTAAACTTTCTAACTAAACAGCGAAGGCACCAGAACCAATTATTTATTGTATTAAAATTGTATTTTGAGACTATATGTTTTTTATATGTTCACTGATAGTTAAAGACCAATGTTTTCCATTTTAATTTTCAGCAGAGCACCACGCTTTTAAGTCCCTGAATGTAGTGTCCTTGCAATGAATCTACTAGTTGCTAGTTATGTCTCTTGTGACTTACTCATATAGCAACTACTTATTCTTTTGGGATCAGTTAAAAATTAATTTTTTGATTAATAGCAGGGATACTTTTTCAATTTGATAAAGAATCTTAATAATGAGATATTTTTCTTTCATTCTGCTTTATATACCTGTAAGCTGTACCTTTTTGTTTTAAACAGCATGATAATCAATAATTTCTTTTTATGAGTTTAAAAAATGTGAGGGTTGAGAGCTTCAAAACAAATAAAGGGACTGTATCTACAATTTAAATCTTAAATTATATTTAAAATTGAAGCAATCCCTCTCATAATTTTTGTGATAAATTATCAATAAATTTTATTCCCTTCTTTTCCATGTGTTAGCCACACTTTTTTATTTATTTATTTTTTTGGCGGAACCATGGATTGAACTCAAACTCTTGAGCTTGCCAGTGAGGTGCTTATTCTATTGAGCCATCTGCCTGGCCCCAGTGTTAGTCACTCTTGACATTTTTACTTCTCTAATTCTCACACCACTGCTAAGCAATTCTTTTATCTCTCACAAAGATAAGGAAAATGAATAATAATTGCAAAGAACAGAGTTTTTTCCACCTTCAATGATGAAAATAGTGTAATTAATTCAATGGAATATCTTCATTATTGACTAGAATATTATTCAAGACAGATTAAATAAACTGAAGAATAAGGCGGCATTCTAATTTTTTCCTAAAATTAAATTCCAAAATATATTATTATTCTGAATTCATCTAATATTAACTGTGTAAATATGTTACTTATCATGGCATTAGACATAAGAATAAAAAGTAGTCCTCTTATGTTGGTTTCTATTTTCTTTTCTAAAAATTCATGTAAAACATTTTTAAGCAGTAAGATATTTTAAACATTAAGAGTAGCCTTTTCAGGGGCCAGGGAGATGGCTTAGTGGAATAAGCACTTCCCTGGCAAGCACAAGGGCCTGAGTTCAATCTTGGATTCCACCAAAAAAAAAAAAAAAAAAAAGAGTAGCCTTTTCAATGTAGTGCCTTCTGCAGTAAATAAGCTGACAAGCTGATTCTGGACACTATGGAACCCTTCTATGGCATTAACAAAGCAAGAAGGAGCTGGAGATTTAGCTCAGTGGCAGAGTGCTTGTGTAGCATGTGCTGGTCTGAGTTCAATTCTAGCACCACAAAACACTGCTAAAAATAAAGTGACATTGTTTATTACCAGCCCATAAAGAAGATTTTATTCTAGTTTGTGATGGAACAGACAGGAAAATTAAAGGAAAGTCACATTCAAACACGCATATTCCTGAAATAAGTGGTGAAGGCAATAAAGGCCATAATTATTAGAAAGAGAGGAAACAATGGGAGCTGATTAAAATACCCTGAGATTAAAATTAAGAACACTGAGATCCACAGGAAGCACATTAAAATACCTCTGAAGACCATCCTTGTACACTTACGTGACTAATAAGATATTTGGCAGTTGATGGGAATATAAACTAGAATTTCTGGCAGAAACAATTTTAAAATGTATCTTGTTTAATACTTTTTAAACACCTGTTATCTGAAGTAGTAAACAGAAGAGTTACCTTTAAAGTTAGGCCTGATTCTTGCATCGTACCCTGATGTCCTCCCCATCAGCTTGTCCAGGAAGTCTGAAGGTGACATTGGAGTGCTTCGGGATCTAGCACTGTTGGTCTCTTTCGTGGCAACCAAACTGCAAATGAGGACAAAATGACAGCCTTTACAAACACCAGTCTAATAACTGCTTCCTGCAAAAATAAAGTTAAAATGCTAAGTCAAAATACCTTTAACAATGAAGAAAACTTCAAATTCTATACAGTTAGCTTCCTAAAAGTGATACAGACACTTATGTGTTAGTTGTGAGAATTTATATAGCCAGTTCTCTGAGGTGGCGTTGTTTTGTATTAATCCTGGAAACAAAGTCACCTCCAAAGTTAGCACAGGTTAAAAATTATATTTACTCAAATTTTACATCTGCTTAAAGTTTTAAAAAAATATCCTTAGTGTTTGAAGCATAAGAAACTGTGAAAGTCACCTATAAAATACACTTGTTGCTTTTTTGAAGAAGGGGGAAAATAATCACCTCTTTCTTTGACTTTGTGAATATTTCTCTGAACTAGTAAAACATGTATGCCACGGATTAAACAGTAATATTCTTTCCTTTATTAAGTGCCTTTAAATTCATTCTGCTTTCGCTAATGTTCCATTTATCTAAACTACGTTTCGTTAAAGTATAAAATATGTGTGTCAAGATTCAGAAGTTAGGTCATAATGCTTAAGCACCTGGCTGTTAGGTTGTTAGAACCCGTGCTCCCAACAGGAAAAGTGTTCCGTGTTCTTGCAAGCAGGATTTTCCTTTTCATTCAGCCCTTTCTCCTAGAAAGCCACGCTGAGATCACACTGCTTTGCAGCTTCTTTTATGTGTATTGGAGCACAAAAGGCCTGCCCCTGCTGGCTAAGAGCTAATGATTCTTTCCCTACACTGAGCTCTGCTTAGGAATACAAAGCTGTGAGTACGCATAGTTTGAAACTCTTATATTTAAGTCGAATTTCCTTCCTGGAGCTCATCAGTTGTCACGCTCTCAACTCCGTGTGTTGCTAAACCCTAAGTGTTTTCGGTCACCACCAGGACATTGCACCATCAAATGACTAAACTTCTTAGATTTCCCGTCGGGATGTTAGTGGTGAAAATGGACCTTTAATCATCACGTTAATTTATCTACCATATAAACACATGCAATGTAGTTTTAATATCCAGTCTCAATTACAGTGTCAGCATGATATTTCCAAAGCACAGTATCTCAAAAACAGTACTTATTATCTGGTGCTTCTTTCTAATTCTGGGCCCTGGAAGACACTTATCTCAGTAGCTATCCTTCTGTTTGTCTGGATTTTTTCCTTTAATCTAAAGGCATTGCTCAAGCTTTTTAAACTGATTCTTTTATTTTCTTTGTCACATCTCTCCTTTTAGTTATCAGAAGATTAGCTTCAATACTTCCTACAAAGGAGCATACCAATTTACTACAATGCTCTGCCTCCTTTGTTTAAAATAATAAGTGAGTAGACCTGCTGAGCTGAAGCGCTCACATTGCATGCTGGATGTAGGGGTTAGCCAGGCCAGCCTTCCGTGCTGTGAGCGGAGGCCAGGCTGAGCTGGCCTGATAGGACAGGGAAGGCAGGGTGACTATGGAGCTAGAAATTAATCAACCACAGAAACACTTGCAATCTCTGAAAGAGACAAGGAGTAGGTTCTCCATTTGGAGAGTAAGGAATTACATCTTGTTTGTGAGCCTGAAGAACTGATTTTGAGCCCTGACTGCTTACTTTCCAAATTTGGAGAGAATAAGTGTATTTTGTTTGTGGGAATATTTTTATAGCAGTCATAGGAATGGAATGTTAGCTTTCTACTGAGTTTTCATTTCTATTACTCTACATTTTAACTTCAGAATTATTTTTTAATTTATATCATTTTTTCTCTTTGTTGATATTTTCCATTTGATGAGATTTTGTGGTACTTTCTTTTTAGTTCTCGAGATATTCCTTTACTTCTTTAAATATGTTTTAATAACTCAATTATTTATTTGCAACTCCAATGTCTTTTCTTTCTCAGGTAAGCTTCTATTGGTTGCTTTTCTCTCTGTGCACAAGCTGTGCATTTTTGTTTCTTCCTGTATATTTTATTGAAAACTAATCATTTAAATCATATAATGCCACATCTTTTGAAATTATATCCCCTCTATTCCTACAGTTTTTATTGCTTTATTTTATAAATTGAATTTCCCAAACCAATTCTTTGAAGTCTGCATTGACTTGCATGTACAATCATAGGAATATCTTTCTACTTACATTACACATTAGCCAATAATTGACAAGGAATACTCTTTCTTAATGTTTTAGGTTGGGGATCCTCCTGATATTGCAGAGGGCTTTGTGTTCACAGTGTTATGCTTTCAACACTGAATCAGCACTAGCCAATTTTGCTTTAGCCTTTCACTCCCACTTATACAGGATCTACAGGCCAATCAGCGCTGAGAGGACCTTCTTAGGTTTTCCTGAGTCTGCAACTATCCTGATGCATTCATTTCTTAGAACTGCCACATCCAAATATGAGCAGTAATGTGGCTTAATAACAAAAAATATTTATCTTGCTTCTGGAGACTGTAAGTTTAAAACTGACTTGTCAAGGGAATTGTGGGGACCTCCTTCCTTGGCTTGTAGGAGTCTGTCTCCTTTCCTTTTCTTCACCTGATGTTGCCTTTCTATGTGTTTATCCTCATATCTACTTCTTATAAAGTCATTACTTATGCCAAATTTAAGAGCACCTATATGAATTTATTTTACACTATATACTTTATTTCTAAATAAAATCACCTTTTGACGTACTAGGTATTAGGACCTCAATATATGAATTGGGAGAATACAATTCAATTCATAACCCTGATCATCCTCACAAATATATATATATATATATATATATATATATATATATATAGTCTTCTAGATACCTAGGAATATGTGGAACTTTCCAAAACCCATGAACATATAGTTCCACTAATTTTCCTTTGAGTGGTTTTGCTTAGTCTATGCTGTTTTCATTGAATTTTTACTACCTCAGGCAATGAGGAAAATTTTTCTAAGTGACTTTGAGAGCTTCCTCTAAGAAAAATGAGTTTAAAAGTGTAAGACTCCATGTTAGGCTAGGTAGAAGAAAGCCTGCAGGTGATTCTTTCCAGAGAAGGTCCAGAAGGTGCACGCAATGACAGCTTTCTAAGAAAGAAACCTGTGAAAATCCCAACTCCATCCTTCTAACTAGGGCAGCCATGTTGCTATTTTGTTTTGTAATGGAGCATTATAGGATTGCAAATTAGCCATGAGACAGAGCGGAGGGAAGTAGAGTAAGTGATATTGCCACAGCCCCAGCTCTCCTAACGAGAGCCAGATGATTTTCTTTTTCTTTCTTTCTTTCTTTCTTTCTTTCTTTCTTTCTTTCTTTCTTTCTTTCTTTCTTTCTTTC